CTCATGTTGTGGATCCACGGTCTCCCAAACAAGGCATTATACCTCATGTCCGCCCTCGATCACGTAGAACTTCGTTTCTTGGATGGTCCCGGCCACGTTTACTGGCAGAGTTATCTTGCCCTTAGTAGTTTCACATACCATGTTGAATCCGTTTAGTACCAGGGTTCAGGCACGACCTCGTCCTGTAGACCAAGTTGCTCTACGACCGTCGATCGAATGATATTGACCGAACTGCCTGGATCAATTAACACACGCTTAACTTGAGTTTCATTTATAAGTACAAATATTACCATTGCATCGTTATGGGGCTTCATGATTCCTTCCGTGTCTTCATCATTAAAGGACAAGGTTCCTTTTGGTATGAAATCCTGAGCTCGAGATAGCTTCTCTCTTACAATCGACACCTTAGTGCGTTTAAACACTGGCCCTTGGGGGACATCGATCCCTCCAGTGATCATGTGGATAATGTGTTGCGGCTCTTCTTGTTCGTTTTTTCTATTGAACTCTCTGTTTTTGAAGTGATTCTTGGCCCCATCACTTAAAAACTCTCGAAGGTGCCCTTCATTGAATAACCGGGCTACTTCTTCTCTCAACTGCCTGCAATCTTCCTTTTTGTGGCCATGGGTGCCATGATACTTGCACATTTGATTGAGATTTCTCTGGGCTGGATCAGTCTGCAGAGGTCGAGGCCTTTTAATATATTTTATCCGTCCGATAGCCGATACGATGGAGGATGCATCGATGTTAAAATTATACCCTGACAATCGTGGTGCTTCCTTAAGTCCGGTATGCCTGTCGAAACCATTCTTGCTCATCAGCCCTCGAGACCCTTGGCCTCGATCACTTCTCCTTTTGCCTCGTACGGAGTTGTGCCCTGGTTCGCTACCCCTACGATCTCTATTAAACGACTGGTATCAGTCCCTGTTCAATCTCGGTTCTCGGTCGATGCCCCTTTTGGCAACGGTTCCCAACTGGTCATCTTTGACTCTAATCTTTGATTGATATCGATTATGTATATCGGCCCAGGTAACAACCGGGTACTCAATCAAGTTCTGCTTCAACTGCTGTGTAGCCACCGAGCCTCGTTCGTTTAGTCCTTGGGTGAAAGCTTGAATGACTTAATCGTCGGTGACCGGTGGCAGATCCATTCGCTCCATTTGGAAACGAGATACAAACTCTCTTAGCATCTCGTTCTCTTTTTGCCTTACCTTGAAAAGGTCTCTGACTTCCTGGTCTCGACCTCTATGGCTCCGGCGTGTGCTTTTACACAAGAATCTGCAAGCATGGCAAAAGAATCGATAGAGTTAGGTGGTAAATTATGATACCATATCATTACTCCCTTTGACAGGGTTTTCTCGAATTTCTTTCATAATACATATTCGATCTCGTCGTCCTCTAGATCGTTCCCTTATGGCACACGTGTAAGAGGTGACATGTTCGTTGGGGTCGGTCGTTCCATTATATTTAGGAATCTCGGGCATACAAAACTTCTTGGGGATTGGTTTTGGAGCTGCGCTCGGGGGGAAGGGCTTTTGTACGAACTTTTTGGAATCCAAACCCTTCAATATTGGTGGTGCCCCCGGGATCTGATCGACCCTGGAGTTATAAGTTTCTACCTTCTTATCGTTTGCTTCAATCCTCTTTTCTCCTGGCTCTATCCGTTTTGTCAGTTCCTCGAGCATCTTTATAATTTCGGGATTAGTCCCCGATTCTTGTTCATTTGACCTTACTACAGCTGGCCCCATTCTGTGGGTAACTTCTTGGGGTGGACCGGGCTCAGGCCTGCTCGGTGCCTGGGCTTGGCTCTGCAACTGAGCTATCGCTACTTGTTGAGCTTGCAACATTTCGAAAATCATACGCATGCTGATCCAGTCCTCTCCAATATTTTGTGTATTTCGAATTGCAGATCGAGTTCCACCATGAATGTTATTTTCGGGGCCGGAATGTTGGTTAGCTTCGATGGCCACATGCGAATTAAATACTTGGTTATCATTTTTTTAACTAAGGAAAAGTTGATTAAATACTTATATTACAAATAAATGAAAATAAGAGAGATAAGTATAATATTGCAAATTACAAGGACATTCAGTGTTTGGAAGCAAGACGTTGAGTCCTCTAACAAAAATAAAAGAAAAAAACATACATTAACTTGTAAACCTTAGAGATGAGTCACACATAAGGAACATGGGCGGATCCACATCCCCACCTATAAGTTCACATGAACTCAGTAGATTTTGTCTAATCAGTGTAAATATGTTCGAAAAATTTATTAAATATTTATAAATGTTTGAATGTGAATTCTGTTATTGTCGAAAATTTACTCGAGATCGTTGCAGAAACCCATAAATATTAAATGCCGGATAGCCTCTGATAAGGAAGATGTTAAAAATATACAACGTCCTATATTTGTGGACTTGTATTACATGTAAGTTATTCAAATAAGATTATTATAACACTATCATATGTTGTATGCGTCTAAGATTAGCCAATGCGGATGGGCGGCTCAAGGCGGAAGGTACTAAACCTTTTTGCTTTAGCCCCCCAAATCTTTGCGATCCCAAAATGGTTAGGTTAAAATTCTGCGGCTTAATTTTTTAAGAAATCATTGATGTTTGTAGAGAAAAAAAAGATAAAATATTTATTGAAAGGAAAAGTAGATTGTTGACTTTCTTATTGATGGTGGCTAAAAAACAAGCTTACAAGAATAATCAGTAGTAATAACTTTGCATTCCAAAAGTTAGACATTAAAAAATTTAAAGCTTCTTATTAAAATTTGGCTTTAGACTACTAATTTTATTAAGCTGCTCCTACTTATAAGTGTTCCTACCTAGCTACGTACTCATAGCACAATTAGAAAACATAAATGTTCAACTAGAAAACATAACTCTAATGTACTTATCTATTCGATGGAATAGCACAATGAAAAGATTAATATTCAATATTTTGCTTGTATTGGGTTTTCATAGATATACTATGTAAAAGCCTCAGTAAGTAGTGCCTGAATCGATTCCAAAATACAAGTGATTAGAGGCGGATTTACCTTAAGGAATGTTGTGCATGTGAACCCATCCTACTTCACAAATAATATGAATTTCCGTATAATTTTCGACAAGATTGGCTATGTAGTGCAGTTAGCACCCATGATCCTAACTTGGGGTTTGGTGCGTTGGTTCGAGTACTGATGGGCACATATGAACTATTTGTTTAGCTCTTCTTTTGCTTCTCCTGCTTTTCGTTCTACTTTTTCTATTTTCTTTTTTGCTCTTTCTTTCTAATTTTACATTTCTTTCTCATCTCGATTCTTCAAAGCATTACCAATCAGATTAATTCTCCAAAAATTCATGGTAAATAACAAATTAAGGATTCAGAGATTAGCTGTTAGTATTATTTTAATTTGAGATTTGTCTCAATTTTGAACTATTATAAATTTATTTCACTATAAATAGTTATATGACTATAAGATCTAAAATACACCATGAGACTTGCTTAAATATTTGTATTCTAATTGAATTATCACGTATCATTATTTCATTCCAATCAAATTATTGAACTTTTGTCTATAACTTCTATTATGAAATATAGTTCTTTTTTAATTTTTGGGTAAGCAATCACATATAAAGAATTAGTCATATGCTATGAGACTTTTTGATATTTTCGTGCTTCTTTTTGCACTAAAAATTTGTACAAGTTTTAGTTTTTGTCAATAGTATTCTATTTGAATTCCCTCTTTATTTTAAACTTTAATGGCAAAAGCTGAATGGTTTAAGAAGAGTCTAGTTTATCTCTTTGGATAATATTCAAAATTAAGAATAACTCATAAAACATATAAATTTTCTTGACAAGCATCAAATTATACTTTAAAGTCGATGGTGCACCTATTGTTTCAAAATCCTGGATCCGCCTATACAGTACCGGCCCAAGGGTAAGACTGTTAAAGCAACTGCTTTGGGCCTCATAATTTTTGGGGTCCCAAAATTTTCTAATAGGTTATATATTAATTTATTTTTAGAAGAATATTTAGTGCTTTAAATGAGAAAGTACAAATTTTTATAGTAAAAAAATAGGATTAAATTGTTGATCATAAATTGAGAAAAATATCTTTTTGGGAATCACTCTCTAGACCATAAACTGAGAAAAGATTTGATTATTAATTCATAACTCAAAAAAGGTTAAAACTTTAATACAGTTCCACAACGTGTATATCTCAAAAGAAATTAAATGGATTAGATAAAATTATTAATAACTTTGCATATGAAAAACTAAAAATACAGAATTTAAATGACAGCATATATGAATTTTTTTTTATATAAAAAATTGACCTTTCATTAAATTTTTGCTTTAGGCCTCCATATTTATTGAGCCGCCCGCGCCTCGGTGATATCGAATTGATAGACTATTCAGACGGCAAAGTTTGCCTTGTGTGGCTCCACAGCTTATTCTAGTACAACTCAAGTGCATTTTGAGTTTTACTTTATTTATTATAAGAACAAAGTAATCTTTTTAATGTAGCATTTGCTTTAGCGAAAGACAAATTTAGAAGTCCATTTCATTGTTAATAGTCTGAGCTTCTTAATTATTGTCTTACAATTGGATTGGACTTGTAGAATTTCTTGTCCGTTTCTTCTTTCCTTCAGCAGCATCAAGTTCAGTTCAGTCTCTTGCCAAAAGATGAGTGATCAATCTTCCTTTTTAGTAAGTTACCAACTTATGATGCATACCGTTTGTTGTTATAATACAGTCAAAATGAAAAGGGATGCATTTTGAGAAAAGAAATAGTACTCGTGTCATTTTTCAAGCATCCAAGCATATGGAAACCCAATAATAAGTGCTAACAGTATTCATGGTCCTTTCAGATAGTAAGATTAAGAAGACTTATATAAGCCAAGGTGACCATTTTGGTAATAAACCCCTGCGACTATTTTTTCCTTCAAAATACCCCTTTAAAGGATCAAATAATAAGATTAAGAAACCATAATGTGACGAACATTTTGGTCCCATGCGACTATTCGTTCCTTCAAAATACTCCTTTATTTAAAGAATCACTAAATCCAATTCCAATGAGATGAATATAACTCTAGAGCAAAAACAAATTATAAAATCAGGGTTCAATAGGAACTATCAATTGAAAAAGGGAACGCAAAATATCTAAGTGGTAACAGTACTTTGAAGCTTATTTGATGGTACGGAAATGGAAGACATCAGAGGCACCTCTGCAGTGGATATAATTTGCACACACTAGATTATAGGGTGACTTGTAGGCGGTTTCTGAGTTCAGACTGTGGAATCCTTCAAAGTGTAAATAGTGAAATCAAAAATCAGAAATGGAGATTATAATGAGATTACATGTCAGCTAATTACCTACGAGAAAGCAAGAGTCTCGCAGAAATTACTGGTCACGCCATTGGAAATCATGACAACTCTCTTGTTGTGCAGAGTGTTCATTGGATGCCTGCTTACACAGATAGTAAAGAAGTTAATGTGAAGCCATTGGAAAACCATAATATTTCGTAGATCATCATTTTGCATGCAGGGAAATGGTATAATTTATCACAGTATGAGCATTAAGTTTAGTCATCATAGCAATGCCAAATATAGATACAGAGATATCATCACAAATTATTTAGGTATTGCCAGTTTTCTTAACCTCCTAAATCTCATATGTCGGAAAAGAAATTGATTATTTTTACTATGCTTGTGCGAGATACCTTGATATTTTGGAAATTGTTGACAAAGTAGAAGCAGGACTAAAATCAGCTGTCTTATCTCAGAATTCTTTTGTTTCTGATGGATCATAATCATAAGCTTCCCCAGCCTTAACAAATCTACCTTTAACTCGTCTTCTGGTATCTGCCCTAGCCTTACGCGACTCATATCTTATTTGCTTACCAAACCTGCATGCCATAAAGCATAAATAGCAATTAAAGGGAAAGAGTTGTATTCACATGAAATAAAGCCTTCTGAAAATAACCACTTAGCTAATCTATGTACTGAAAATTTTAGATTTAAGTAAATGGTAGTAGTAATTTGGTATCGAAATTGTTGAAAAATCGTACCTAGGGAGCAAAAAGAACTTATGAAAAGTCTAATTAAGACGAATAAAGAACATTTAAGAGGACTCTAAATGAAAGAGTTGTAAAATAAGCAAACCATGACTGCTCAAATATCAAAGAGTATCGATCAACTCACGTTCTACTTTTCTTTTTCTCATTGTATCTCATCTTGGCTTCATGCCTTTTCTGTGGACTTTTTTCTAAATTCAAATCCCAGGATTCACCATTCAGAAACACTGGTGACAATCCACAATCTTGATAGTCAGTTGTTGCACTACTTTCTCCAGTGATGTTGGAGAGTGATAATGACATGCTTGAATGGATTGGTGCAGGTAGAAATGGTAAGCCGATGCTACTGGGATTCATAAGCATGCAATTTGCAGTGGCACTCATCGTCTGAAACAGATTCGTTGAACTTGCAGCTGCAGCCATTTGTGAGGCCTGCAATCCCATATACTCTTGTGGTCCTGATGATGTAGCCTAACAAAATACAAAGGAAACTTAAAAGCTTAAGCCCCAAAAGGCACATAATAATACTTAAACAGTCATTTACAAATTAAAACATGTCACAAGAACCTCAAGAGATGTTTCCACATGACTATTAGATCCCGTTACGGATGAATTTTTCTCCATGACTAGGCAATCTAATTCCTTGTCTTCACTAGAGTATATTGGATGACTCTGTTGTGAACTTCCCAAAAGTTCATAATTACCACAGTCGAAACTCAATGTCACGTCATCAAAATTGACACCTTTTGCGAGATCATCACCTTCCTGAAATCCGAGATCCTTAATTGGACAATCTTGCTGCATTTGAAGTAAACAAAGAATGTAGCACCATTAGTGCATACCATACCAGACAACATATTCAACAAGAAAACATGGTCTTATGTTGTATATAAGAAGCAGAAGGAGGAATCTAAGGGTTCAACTGAACTCATTGTTTTTGCTTGAACTATGTATACACATGCAAAAAAGAAAAAAAAAGGATACATATATATAACAAGATTACACTCATTCCAAACTCATTGACTCTAGATCCTGAATTCACCTCTGAATTATGAAGCCATTGCCTAGGACATGTCATACTCGTGACATACCTGATCTAGTCCTATAGCATTGGCAGTTGATATTAAAGCAACTCAAACAAACAAAAAGGAAATATGAGAAAATGAAGAGCAGTATATAACCTTAGAAAGGCCAGATCCCTCTGAGAAGGGTACTGGATCTCTTTTGTAGGAAGTCAAGCAATTGAGATTTGAAGGGATGGCCCATGGATCAAACTTATAATTAGAAGCTAACTCATTAAGCTTATTAGCAACCAATGAACCTCCATTTCCTTTAGTCTCCAAACTGCTATTCTCATTGATACTCAATGAGCTACAAGGAGTACTGAAGCTGCCAAAATTAGTGTCAGGAATTTCAAGAACTTCAGACAACATCCTTGTGAACTCAGTAGGAGATAGACTTCCATTATAAGGGTTCAGCTGTTTGAGTCGATGCCCTGTCCCCGTACAGCCATTTTCGTTCCAATCACAGCTTTCACACAAGCACATTTCTTCATCCATGCATCTAACAACTGCTGGCTGTGAACTGCATTTGTCACAAATGAGAGAACGAGAATGCCTTCGCGATAAACAATTTGCTGAGTGCACATTTTCATCACATTGCAAGCAAAGCCTTGCTGAATCTGATTTACAATACACTAATCCCCTCACCACCCCACATAATTCACATACAGGATCCATTGAAACCTAGTTATTTTCTTCCAACTACTCCCTTACCAGCTAGTATAATAAATGTGCTTCTCCTTATTTATTGTTGTAATTTATTTCTTTGGCCTATCTAAATGGATACAATATTTAAACAAGATAAATTCTATGTCACGAACAGTGATTCTATTAATGATGAAGAAAGAGGATTCTTGATTCAATTCTCCACCTTAACGGCATAAACAGGTTGATAATCAAATATTCTTAGTAGGTATTGGACTTCTCTCTTGATCCTACACCTTCTGTAAAACTTCTATCAGAATCAAGCACTTCACCCGTTACAAAAAAAATATAAGATTGAAACAATGTATACAGCTGAAGATGAACTAAATATGAAACTAGAGCTGTTAAATTCTATGACAAATTGTATTAAAACTACTGATTAGAACAAAAACCTCGTTCAATGTTGATTCAGATGGATGCAAATGTTCTTGTCACTAAGCACATAAGGTTTGTAGGAAAAGATGAAAGGAAATAAAAAAAATCTACTGGAATGTAAATTTTAGTTTTTCTTTGGTTTCAGTGAGGAACGTATATTGGTATTTATGGACGTGTGCCACGTGGAGAGATGTGAGAAGTGAAACTTGATACGGCTTACTGGAAATGCTGATCTGGAATGGAATATGCTTCTTGCTCAACTGATTTTGATTAATGTCCTGAGGACTCGCTCTCTATAAACTCACTCCGTTGATGGTAAAACAGTTGACGAAAAAAGAATACGAAATAATTTACCCGCTTTCTTCTATATAAAAATAAAATAAAAATACATAACATGTCTTTATTGTTTTTTCTTAAGTATTATATTATTCATTTTTAAAGTGCTTAATATTGGCTATAGCTACACCCACTGAATTCATTACTTAGCAAGCTCAGAAGCAGCCCATGCATTAGAATAGCTCAGCTTATACGAGTTCAATTTATAGCTCAAGATTATCGTTCTACCAGTTTACTTATTCACTCATTTCGTTCGATTAGTTAATCTCCAGCTAATTAAGCACAATTAGTTTTTATATAGAGCATTAATAATATAGCTGTTCGAATTTGTTTACAACTGATTAGTTACGAAACTTTGCATAGTAGTACTTTAGGTCATTTTTCAACATTTATCAATCAATGATCAATGATTTTTAACTAATTAGAATATAATTAAACTAAATGGTTACATTCTTTAAAAGTCGTATACTAAGAATGAAGCTTAAGATCTCAAAGTGTTCCGAACAAACACCATCTAACTTTGACAAAAAAGTTACCAAACGTTTCCTTAAATATCTTCACATGAATAGTTAATTAATGTTAGAACCTCTTGGATTATGTCGACATCTTGCCTATGGTGAGTCACCAAAAACAATTACGCATTTGCTATCAGTTATAGCTAGAGCTTTCAATTCCCAAGAACATGTTGCATGTGTCAAGAGTGTTGGGAACGGGTTTGTTGGATAATGCTAACATCCTACCGATGGCGAGACCCAAGTGATGGGTTGGGGATGGCCCGATTGAAGCTGTGATCGAATATGACATATGCTTGATGAGCTAGGTTAAGAAATCAACTACTTATTTTTTATACGGAAAAGGGTCATATATACGAGTGAACTATACGAATTAGGATAGATATGTCCGTCGTTATTAGTTTGGCCCAGATATGCGTAAACCGTCCAATACTTGCTTATTAATGCTCTTAGTTAAACGAAACTCACTATTTTATCTTTCTTAAATAATTAATAACCGGACCTGATCAAAATCTGCTGACCTGATCCGTTAGGACCCAACCGGACTCAATACGGATATCAATTTCACAGATTATTAGAAAATAAAATTTATGTATTTTAAGTACTATGGAGACATAGCTACAAATTATTATTTTGTAACTGAAAATATGAAAATCATACTCATTTTTTTTTTTTTTTTTTTTGTAGTTTAACTCCTCAAATATTAATAATGTCACAGAAGAAGTAACAGTTTGATATAACATGAGATAGAGATTATTAATTTTTCCTTTCCGTGTTGCTGCTTGTTTGACAACTAATATTGACAATTCATGACAGCAAAAATGTTGTAATTAATGATTGACGACCGAGACAACAATGAGACTTATGGCGCCTGTTGGATCTAATATCAAAGATGATGGAGCAGAAAAAATAAATACAAAAATGGAAAAGAAGCACCACTGTTTTAACAATTTATTAATTATTTCATAATAAATTTGTAATGCAGAAAATAATCCAATAAACTAATAATCAATCATATAATGATCACTTATCTAAACAAAAAAATAGATCAATCATGTTAAATTATAGTGAACATGGAGTTATTTGTATTTGTATTGGTGAAAAATACAAATAGATTGTGAGAAAAATAAAAATAGATGGTAAAATGATTGAAGAAAGCACAAACTAATTCGAATATTACATTATTAAAATAATAAATAAATATCAATTGCTACTTTTAGTAGGATTACTTCCCGAAATGATGTATAACAAAAAAATATCGATTATCAAACTACTCAAATAAATAAATATGATTATCACACAATTTCTTAACCAAACAAAAATAATATATTAAAAAATATCTTTGAAATAATGATGGGTCGGGTCCTAACGGATCGGGTCAGTAGATTTTGGTTGGGTCCGGTTATTAATTATATAAGAAAGATAAAATAGTGGGTTCCGTTTAACTAAGGGCATGAATGAGCAAGTATTGGACGGTTTGTGCTTATCTGGGCCAAATTAATAACGATGGGCATATCTGTCCTAATTCGCATAGTTCACTAGTATATATGGTCCTTTTCCGTTTTTTATACGACCGTAAATGTTTAATCCTAAAATAACCTAAGAGTTCTTCCTTTTATCTATCAAGCCACTTCAAAATGCGTCCACTGTTAAACTCTTTTATCGATCACATGATAATTTTCTAGCAGTATCACGACCCCAATTTCTCACCTTAGAATGTTGTGATGGCACCTAATCTCTAAGATTAGGTAAGCCTAACAGCTAATAATAGTTTAACAGAAATAACCAATCTGAAATACTAAAATAAAACCGATAAGCTCATATTAATTCCTAAAATAGAACATCAACAACATAATTCCCAAAATCGGTAGAATTGAGTCATAAGCTCTACAAATATTCTAAAACCTATACTACAACACGGTCTGACAAAGGAAATAACAGTAATGTGATGATAACGGAAGGTGACTCCGAAGCCTGCGGACGTCGAGTAGGTATACCTTAAAGTCTCCAGAAAGCAAGTAATCAATCAATTACTAGCGTCCAGCACGGGAAGACATACCTGGATATGCACAAAAAATATGCAGAAACGTAGTATGAGTATACCACAACGGTACCCAGTAAGTATCAAGCCCAATCTCAGTAGAGTAGTGATGAGGCCAGGTCAAGACACCTACTAGGATAAGATAAACAGAATAATAATATAATAACGGGAAGTAATGGAAAACGGAGAAATGAGTGATGACAAAGCAGTATAGTAACGTAACCCAACGACAAAATTTTAAGCAAAAAGGCAACAAGTAAGAAGCACATAATGAGAACCACAAATAATCAAATACAGACAAAACTGGTAAGACAAGGAAGAATAAAAGCAACAAGAGCTGTTCAACCAATAAATCTTTTCAATATGAAATATACAACAAGAATCACAATCGAGGTACTACACCATATTCACATTTCACAATATCAATCACATTCTTTCCTTATATCACCGCATGAGCCTTACATTTAGTTTCAAAAATTATTTTTTCCTAAAATAGCCACATGCGTTTTAGCCCACCTTATCCAACCGCATGGCTTCAAGTAGTTTCCCCACTACCAACCCGCATATCAATCCCACCTTATCTCATCACATGTGTATCAACTCCTAGCCTTATACCACCGCATGTGTATCAATATCACAACACAGTCACAACTCGCACCACAAGTGCCCATATGCCAAAACTTGCCAAAAAGTCAATAATACCAACGTTTCCACAACAAATAGCCCATGGCTCAATCGCAATATATACAATAATCTCAATAACAACAAGATGAATGAGGAATACTCAACAAGGAAAGAGACCTCAACATTTAACAACTTCACCTTAATGTGATAACGACTTTTACAACTTCAACACCAATAACTCAACAAGAAGATATTTCACGAAATAACAACCTCAAGTAAGAGTAATTTAGCAATAAAGAGGTAACAAGACAATAAGAAAAATAACAACTTTAACTAAGACATATGAGAGCAAATATAACAAGTAAAAGGTAGAACAAGTGCTACAACGTCAACTAAAGCATGTAAGAGTAGATTAACAATAAAAAATGTAGTATGCTCTAACAATTCAATTAAAGGCATGGAAAGCATCTAAATAGCCTAAATCGGTCAAATACCATATATAGCCCGTGTAACCTACTCGTCACCTTGCGTACAGGACTTTTACATAACACAAATAGCACAATCAACCCAAATCCTAAAGGGTAGTTTCCCCCACATAAAGTTAGGTAAAATACTTACCTCAAACAAGCTAAATTAGCCCACTACTAAGCCTTTTCCACGAAATTCAACTCCGGACGGCTCGAATCTTTCCAAAATAACTTAATACCATAAATACAAACTATAGGAAATTATATCGGTTAATAAAGTTGCAATCTTTAAAGAAAATCAAAAAGTCAACTCAAAACTTCAACCCCGAGCTCTCACCTCGAAACCCGACAAAACTTATAAAATTCGAACACCCATTCAATAATGAGTCCAACCATACCAAAATTATCCGATTTGAACCTCAAATCAACCTTCAAATCTCCAATTTATAGTTTAGGAAAGTTTTCACAAAATCTCCAATTTTCTCCAATTCAAAACACTAATTAAATGTTAAAAACAATGATGGAATCATGAATAACAAGAAAATTCGAGTAAAAAATACTTACCCCGATCCAAATCTTGAAAATCCCTTCCAGAATGGCCAAAAACCGAGCTCTTTAGCTCAAAGTATGGAAAATAAAATAAAACCATCGACTCTAACCTTTTTCTGCCTAGTTATTCTACTTCTGCAGACATGTGGTCGCTTCTGCCACTCCGCATTTGTAGAAAAACCATAGCAGATACGGCTTCCACTTAAGCCCAGAAGAATCGCTTATGCAGACGTATATACGCATTTGTGCGTACGCTTCTGCGGAGATTCCATCGCACCTGCTGATCTAGAAAGCCAAGTCCAAATCCGCTTCTGCAATCCACCAGCCGCACCTGAGGCTCCAAACCTGCGGCCAAGCCCACCGCAGGTGCGATGACACGAGAAACTTAGTTGTTCAACAACAATTATCTTAAGTCCAAAGTGAATCCGAAATCAATCCGAATTACACCCGGGCCCCGTGGACCCCGTCCAAACTTACCGTCAAGTCCCAAAACAAATAAAAAACCTACTCGAGGTCTAAACTCACATCAAACAACACCAAAACCACGAATTGCACATCGATTCAAGCCTAATGAACTAATGAACTTCCAACATCTAA